ACCATTGGACAGTTGTATGTTTCAACCATTGGACAGTTGTATCGTCCTACCATTGGACAGCGTGTAGATGACGGCGGCGTTGAACGTGTCTCCAGCTCCGAGAGTGTCGACCAGAGTTTCAGGAGGAAACGAATCAGAGTGAATGATGACATCATCAGGACCCAAAGCATCTGCTCCTTTTTCTGCCCAGGCACAGATTAGGACAGCCCTGAGAGACAGACGGGTCAGAGCGAGATAGGACAGGTCAGGGAAAGACAGACGGGTCAACTGCACTCACCCCGCTTTGACTCGACTGTAGAATCCTCTCACAGCAGCTTCTGCCGACTCAAAGCCAAAGTGACGAGCGACGTCTTTACTGACAAACACCTGTCGACAGTCAAACCCTGAGTCCTGATCTTTATCATGTTAATCACATGTTGATGTTTTATTTGAATCATACTGAAACCTGTTGTCATAAAGGCGCTCACCACGTCCCCGAGAGGAAACAGCTGGTACAGCGGCTCTCTGGTCTTCTCTATCTCCACGGAGACAGTGATCCTCTGATGCTGCGGTAACGTGCTGTTGTACTTCGCTACCCTCTCGATCATCTTCACCTGCTCTTCAGCATTTCGACCCTGCAGACGATTAATAAATCAAGAGTTTGACAAATACAACGTCAATATTTCTCTCTGTAATAAAGTCCTAAAATGATTATGCATACGTTTTTCAAAGTTCCTTTAAGAAACATTTGCACATGTTGAAATAATTCATCTTGGACAGGTTAAACTAATATTAAAAAGTCTGGTCAGTGTGGGAGGGTCATTGATCAGTAAATCATTATCTTCTGATTAAGTTCATTTTCCGTCTTTATTTCGTCGTGGTCATGGGTTCAGTGGGTTCAGGTGAGTTTGTCGTCTTCGTGTTCTCACCTCCCAGTGAATCCACTTGAACTGATCGAGCTCAACTTTGGAAAAATCTGCTGCTGTGACATCAGGAAGGTTCCTGACAGGAAGTGACATCATAGATTATTTTTGTCATCAATAAACACAAGAGAATCATAAACATTATTGAATCAAAAGGTTTCAGATCTTAAATTAAACCTGATTAAATAATTGGTTCGTTTCTGTGATCTGAATAAGAAATGATTGGTCAGACGACGAGGAATCGATTCATGAACTTTGAGGAGTAGATTCTGTTTATGGATCCAAATATAAAATCAAGTCAGTTTTTATTATATGAAACCGAATAAGATGTTTTATTAGTCACTTCATACAGAGCAGGTTTTATTATTGACGGACGCAACAATTTCCATCGTCTTCATCATATTTATCATGACCACCATTATATACTCTCTATATATATATAGATATATATATCTATATATATATATCTCAGAGAAATTTACTTCATCAATTAAGACCAATAAAACCACAGCAGAGACTCAAACTGACAGAAAATAAACAGATACGTTTCTCAAAGTTTATCAAACTGAAAATTTGATAAACTTTCCATGTTTCACTGAATCCCTCAGGGTCCGACTTCACTGTTAGCTTAGCTTAGCATAGAGATAGAAAATAACACATTAGTCTGGTTCATTTACCCAAACGTACACAGGCTCTGCTTCCAGTGTTTATGCTAAGCTAAGCTGACCATATGTGAATATAAGAAAACAGACTGATATGTTTGTGTCTATCATTCTATCGGCCGCTCGGTCTGATGGAACCTGATGCTGACTGCGGTGGATCAGTTCAGGATCAGGGCGAGTCGCTCTGCAGTGGCTTGTGTGACCACATGTGATTAGACCAGATTCAGGATCAGGATCAGGAGTTTGTGCTTCCTGCAGTCGTGTCAGACAGTGTTCACTAAACACCTCAGAGGGTTGGTTTTGTCAAACTAATGGAAAATAGCAGCTGACAGTGAATTAAAATGTAATCAGATTACTCCTATTACTGTCGTTATTATTATTGATCAAAGTGAGATGCTTCACCCGTCAACACGAAGTAGACCTCTCACACACGCTTAGGATTTTATTCTAAGATTTAATTTAGATTGAATTCTTTTTATGTTACTGTAATTTATTTTATTTTTCTAAAGCTGGTACACTTCCTACCAAAGTGAATCGCCATGGTAACCAATGCTGGATGTCTAACCTGGACAGGTTCACTGACCAATCAGAAGAGCGTAAACCAGCGTCATCATCGACACGATCCTGAGAGACAGAAACAGTTGTGATGTTTCTCAGCTCCGTTAAACATGATCCTGATGTCACGTCTGTTCCTGTCGTTCATATAAATCAAGCTGTTAGATTTGATTCATGTTCCACAAATAACTTAGATAAAGATACAATCTTTATTAAAAGTTAGTTGAAAGAATTGTTGAACTTTTATTCAGCATAATTTATTTTATAAAGGAGAGTGGACACACCATCTATCTCCATGGTAACAAAGTCTGACTGACAGAGAGGTGTTTAGTAAACGCTGTGCGACGCTAACTGGTCGTCAAGACGTCTTACATGTCGGAGAGAACAACGGTTCGAGATCCAGTCGATGGACAAACCACACAACAGGCACACGGAGTTTGACCTTTGACCTGCCAGATCACAGCCGACACGTCGATCGCACGGTGCGTGAAATCAGCCACGATGAAACTGAACCAGAGACAGGAAACACATCAGCTCTGTCCTTCAAAATAAAACCACACATACGCACAGGGAGCTGTGCTCTGATTGGTGGAACAGGAGTGGGGCGGAGCATCTCCATGACAACGATGATGTTCCTGAAACATAAGCCATTAGTTACAGACAAACCTGTTCATGTGCAGGATGGTGCGACTTCCTGTCCTGATGTTGCTGATGACCATCGAGGCTGGAAGGACACACTGAGCATGCTCAGACATCAGAGACACGTCAATGTGGAGTTTCTGAAAATCCTCCAAAATAAAACTACACACAGGAAACTCCTTAATCTCCTCTGTCGTCCAAAGTCAAACTACAAACACGGTTTCCTTACCCGCACTTTACACTGACTCTTCCTCATGGAGGAGACGTGAGATTAGAAACGACAAAACATGAAAAGATGAGTAGGAGAAGAAACAAGAAGACAAGAGAAGAGGAGAGAAGA